GCCCTGTTTAGTTTGATTTTATTCTGTTCCAGTCTGTCTACTCATACTAGATTTGAGGGCACAGACAGCTATCCCAAAAATAGCAGAATATACTATAGTAACTATTCTTAATTTCCTATTAACTTAAACTGTATTACTTACACTGTCTTACTATGACTGATCTTATTTGAATCTGGTTTTTTAGGTCGCTGTTTTGTCTTGACTACTTTTATTCAAATTTGATATGCTTGGTAGTATCAAGTCTAAGAGTAGAGGCAACTACTTTGAAGATGACAAGGTGCAATAGGATACCCATTCTGGTTTGATTATTAACTGCTTTTGAAGCCCTACAATATCTCCAATGTTGTGTTTTTATTAATATTGCGATATAGTGCTATGTTCAATTATATCTGATGATATAGATAATTCTATTGAAAATAACAAGAGACATCATAATAACTACTGTAGATCACCTAGTATTGTGGTTTTATATGTCTTTTTCATTTCATGTTTTTCTAGGAATTTTTTTTGCCTTATTTTGATCTGTTTTTCCCTATAATACAGAAAGGATTGGTATACATGTAGAGATTCATGCTTGTGTAGAACTTCTAAGCAGTTTACAAGAATTGATTATAGAATGCATGTGTAATGAACAGATACTCTGAAGAAGAGACACTAAGATACCCAGTGCTAATTCTGTAGTGTTATAAAAATCTAGCAATGCTATTATTCTCTGTTCAGAGTGATATTAGTCTATTTTCTTTTGTTTAATTTCAACATACATAAAGATATGGACAGCTATTTCGAAGAGAACGAGAGGCATTATGGCAGCCATTGTTGACTTCCCTATTGTCTGGTCTTGAAGACCTACGATACCTTCATCATCCTGTTCTGATCAGTTTAGTACTATATTGCTCAGTATGTATTCACTGTGTTTGAAGATATGGGCAACTTTTTGGATGAAAACAAGAGACAATATGATAGAAGATCTGAAGTGGTCTTGCTTTGAAATCTGTTTCTTAAATTGCTTTCCTATGATCTGTTTTTTTCTGTTTAACTTTACCCTCTTTAAAAAATTTATTAAAAAATCAATTTGAAATAAGTGGCAAGGAGAAACAGAAGGAGCTAACATCAACTGGGACCTTAAGTCTGTTTGAATTTGAAACTCTTGTGTATCTTCCATTTTCATGAACCCACAAATTTGACTTTGGCTTATTTCAATTAAATAGCCGTCTGTCACACAGGGTTCAGAGAGTCCTCTGGATTTTTGCAAATGGATTGAATTGTGTATTCAAAGCATTTATATCAATATCCTAATCCCTGGAACTCTCCCCAAAGGTGACCCTTATTTGGAATAAAAGAGTATTTGCAGATGTAATTAGAGATCATGAGATGAGATCGCCTTGAGCTACTACGTGCCAACAAAGTCTAATGACACACATGTCTGTAGGAGACACTCAAAAGAGGGAACAAGGTGGCCATAGGAAGATGGAGGCAGACACTGGAGTTATACAACACCAAGGCCATGAATAATGACCAGAACAAGACCTCCCCTAGCCCCTGCACTCCTCTGCCAAGGCCTAGACTTCCACCCGCAAAATCAGAGGGAACTGATTGCTATTGGCTGAAGCCACCAAGGTCAGGATGATAACCTTAGGACACAAAACCATGGCTCTACTTTTGTGTCAATGGAGAGATAATCAAGGGGGGACATTTGGGCTCCAGTATCCTGGACTAAAACAGTCACCGGGAGACACGGCGAATTACTCCAGTGTGCCAGCCTGCACCAAAACTCACAGTGTTCTCGGGCCTAGTCTGGGTCTGCTTGCCTCAGATAAGATTATTATCTCCCCACAAACATCTAAATCTTTATTCTTCCATTTTTATTTTTTATTAATATATGTTTGCTTTACATAAGGATTATATACCTTGTGGGAGTTGGGATATAAAGGTAACACATCTCAGTTCTTTTCTTTACCCCTTTCTGTCCCCTCCCTGTCACTTCCTCCCATCTCTTGATCCATCTGAGCAAAATCTAACTGCTCAGCTCCTATTATCTATCTTTTATTTTGTTCTTTAGTTTTGGATCTTCCGTATAAAAGAGACTATGTGGTATTTTAGCTTGTGTGTTTGATTTATTTTATTTAACATTGTGGGTTCAAGGTGCATGCATTTGCCTACAAATGACTCAACTTTATCTTTTTATGACAGAGTAATACTCCACTGTGTATACATACACTAGATTTTCTTTATCCATTCCTCTATAGTGTACATACAGGTTTCTTCCAAAATTTAGCTATAATGAATTGTGCAGCCATAAAAATGGGTATGCAGCTGTCACTGTAATACAATATCTTTAACTCTTCCAGAAAGACATCTAGAAAGGGAATAGCTGGGTAAAATGAAATTTCTATTTTAGTTTTTTTAGGAGTCTCTATACTGATTTCATAATGATTATATTAGTTCACATTTTTACCAACACTGTAGAAAGTTTCCTTTTCCTTATAACCTCATCAGCATTTGTTATTTGATTTCTTGATGATAGACATTCTTTCTGAGATGAGATGAAATCTCAATGTTGTTTTATTTTGCATTTCTCTTGTGTCCAGTGATGTCGAGCACTTCTTATGCATTTATTGGCCATTGGTACTACTTATTCTGAGAAATATCTATTCATTTCACTTACCCGTCTTCTGATTGGGTCTTTTATTTTAGAGAGTTTAACTTTTTTTGACTTCTTTATATATCCTAGATATTGGTCCTCTGAATAATAGATGGCAAAATCTTTTTCCCATTTTATAGGTTGTCTCTTCACTGTTTCCTTTGTTGTGCAGAATTTTTTTCATTTAACAGGATCTCATCTGTTGATTCTTGGTACTATTTCTTGTGCCACTGGGGTTCTATTCATAAAGTCCTTGCCTGTGTTTATAAAAGAGTTTTACCTGTTTCTAGCAGATTGTTTCTATTTTAACATTTAGATCTTTGATCCATTTTTATTTTAAGTTCAAACCTCTCCTACTCGATTTCTGATAAGTCCATTCTCTCTCTATATATATCTCCCTCTCTCTTTCTCTCTGTCACACACACACACACACACACACACACACACACTCTATAATATGCCAATTATACATTTTTGCCACAAGATTTTAACAGCTCAAGATTAGAGCCACTTAGAAAAAGATTTGACTCCATCTCCCATAAGGTGGTGAGTGATAATTACTTTACATTTCCAAACCCCAACTGCAATTTGTAGATTTCCAACTGCTGGACTATTCTTTTAAAGATTAGATAGTACATGCGAAACACAGCTCAGAACCTAGTTCATGATCTATTTACTCAGCAAATATAACTATTATAGTTCGCTATACTCAATCTTAGGCTTGTTCAACTATTGAGCAGCACTGCTCAGGGAAGATGTTCCCAGGCTCATGGGTATGAATCAAGATCTACACAGGGTAGGTTAGGAGTGAGCATAGGACCTAGTTTTGCCAGCAACATGAAAGGAAAGGTCTGTTGGGTTTTCTGAGAAAAAAAAAAAACCTCATTTAGAAAAAAAAATAGGTACACAAACAGAAACCTACTCATGCTTTGTATGGATTTTGTTTTGTTTGTTATTTGGCCATGCTGGGGATTGAACCCAGGGCTTCATGCTTGTTAGACAAGCGCTCTACCCCTAAGCTACATGCTCCAGTCCTTACTTTGTGATTTTGGACCTTGTGATGTGAAGATACAGTAATCAGGGTGCTGGCACCCCTCCTGTGACCATGAGGCAAAATCCCAGACTCTCAGCAAGTAAGCATGACCCTAAATGTCATCAGACTTCTGAATAGACCAACTCAGCAACTGTGGGCCTTCCAAATCTTTTGACCTGTGTGATAATAAACTTCAATTTTCAATGCTACTTTAGCAACTGAAAACCTCCCTGAATGCTGTTCCTGTGAGTGACACGCTATTTTTAGACTGCTGAACTCACCTCAAAGTGGTTCTAAATTAGCTGCAATAATTTGTGATGCTGTTTTCTATGCAAAGCCAAACAGTTTTATCCTCTAGATTCTGTCTTCTGTTGTAACATATCCGTGTCAGCTGGGAATAAACAGCTTCATTCTACCAAAATCTTTCTCCCTATAAATCTCAGTCTCCGGGAGATCAACTTGTGCTGTGGAAACATTTTTCACATTACAATCCAAGCACGGCATATGCTCCATCTGGGGACCAAGTGAGCAAGAGAACAACTTTCTAAAACTGCGTGCCGAGTCAGACGTAGTTAGGATCTTGGTTATCCGGATGCTGGAACCTGTTTAGCGAGGCATTGGGATTTGTCTCTTTGGTTTTCAGTCTCCCCTACATTAATTCTCCTGAACAGAGAGGCCTGATTCCTCCTTCCTCCACTTGGCAGCAGGCACGCTCCCCCTAAAAGGATGTCCAGACTTCAGGAGAACAAATAATTTGAAGGAAAGGAGAGGAAACCCTGCTCTCCCGAGCATCAATTCTGTCTGCTGCGTACGGAAGTCATGTGGGTTCTCTCTCCCGGTGCCCTAGGGAAGCCGGACGAGAATGTTCTATGAGGGCAAGAGAAACCTCTCAACAACAAGGATAGTATTAAGAGGGTGGAGATGAAGGGGTGCTTCTGACAGGTCGTGTCCCTGCCTGTTCTCATCTTTCTCCTCAGCTTCTCCCTGCCTCCTTATTCCTGAACCTGACCTCCCAACTTGGGTCAGTATTTCTACTCTTGGTCCTTGGGGACCACCCTCCACAATGAAGGCAGAGAGAACCCTTAAGTCCCCAAATTATCTAACACAGTCCTGTCACTCCCTCAATCCCGTGTTCGAACATTTCCCCTCTTGCCTGGAATGAGACATAAAGGTGGACCACACAGCTCTGGCCTCCCACAAAGTCTCCACCAGCCCTCCCCAGGTGACACCCAGCTGCTTCCTCAACCCAGCCTGGCCCTTGTCTACACTAATCACCTTTTCCTAAAAACAGCCCCTTGACCACCCGAAGGAAAATGGAACTCTGGCCAGTTTCCAGATCTCTATTTTGAGCTTTTTGAAGTACATTTATGGTGGTATAATGTGCACCCAGTATGCCCGCCCTGTCTAGGTGTACAGTTTTCTAAGTGTTGGCCCGCACATATAGTTACACACTATCGCCGCAGCCCACACAGAGAGGGTTTTCAGTTCACCAAAAAGTCCCCCTCCATGCTTGGTCTTTGGAAACCACGAATCTGGTCTCTGTCCTTCTACTTCTGCCTCTTCCAGAAGAGATGGAACATAGAGATGTCCCATGTCACAGAGATGGGATCATATAGCATGTAACCTTTTATGAATTGCTTCTTTCATTTAGCTTAATGTTTCTGAGATTCATCTGTGTTGTATGTCCCAATGGGTCCTCCCATTTAGAACTGGGTCGTGGTCCATGACCCGCAGCTAACTGTGTGTTTAACCATTCACCTGTGGAAAGAACAAGTGGGTTGTTAGACGTTTTGGTTTCATTTCCAAAATAAAATTGATATGAATAATAATTCTGTGTGATCACACATTTTCATTTTTATAGGAGAAATGTCTGAGAGTATATGGCCAGGTCATAGGGAAGTTTGTTCGGTTTTTAAACTGTCTTACGGAGTGGCTATATTATTTTATGTGTTAATTTTGATGATGGTCAGTTTATTAATATTTTATCTTGTTGATTATGCCTTTGACATTCTTATTTCCAGATCACAAAGATTTTATCCTATGTTTCCTCTAGAAGTTTTAGAATTTTATATATTTTTTAGAATTTTACATTTTATAATTAGATCTATGGTCCATTTGGAGCTTTTGTGTATAAGATGCAATACTTAGGAAGACATTTTGTTTGTTTGCAGATGTCCAGTTGTTGCAACATGATTTGTTCTTTTTTTTCCCCATTGAATTACATTTGGATCTTTGTCAAAAATCAATTGGCCCGTCCCAGCATGTTAGTTTGCAGGACTGATAAACTGATTCTTAGGCGTATACAGAGAGGCAAAATATCTACAACGTCCAACCCAATATTGAAGAACACAAACAAAGTTGGAAGACTGCTTCTACCTAACTTCAAGAATTCCAATCAATCTATAATAATCAAGCCAGGGTGTTGATGAAAGAATACTCTAAACAGATCAATAAAACAGAACAGCTTAAAAACAGACACACATAAATTTAGTCAACTGATATTTCACAAAAGGAAGCAGGTAATACAATGCAGAAAAGGAAGCCTTTTGACAATGGTGCTGGAACTACTGACATTCATAGGAAAAAGAATGAATCTAGGCGTAGATCTTACATCCTTCAGAAATAGTAAACAAAGTGTGAAATCAAAGAATTAAAAGCAAAGCTATAAAATTCCTAGATGGTAACATAAACTGCCTGGATTGGGTCCTGCTTTGGCACTCATATCCGTGTAATCCTGGGCAAACTGATCAATGTCTTTGAATTTCAATCATCTTTTCTTCAAAGTGGAGGTGATGGTAAGACCCACCTGGCAGGGTCAGGTAAGTCGTAATATGTGCGAGGTCCCTAGCAGAGAGTCAGTACTTAACAGGTTGAAGATGTAATAGCAATAATAGTAGGTTCTTTGTGGAATATCTGCTGGTAATATCTTCTAAAATCAGAGAAATATCTTAACTGTAAATAAAACAGCAAACAAGAAAAGGTATGATGCCATGCTGCTTCAGAACTGTGTGACGTTTTTAAGAGGTACAATTCTTGTTTAGTTGGGTCCACACAAGTGAGGAAAAGTCACCAGAATAACCTGGGCTGACTCAGTCACTGATAACTATATCTTTCCCTGGGACCTGTTGAGCTGTGTGTGGCATCTTGATCCTCACCCAGAACTTTCTGCAGTACAACATCAGACAATGGCCAGAATAAGTGCTGCTGCCTGCAGAGGAAGAAGCTGGAGACAGAGACAGAGATGAAGTGAAGGCCAGCCCACAGACCCTCAGCAGGGATGGCTGCTTTCCTCCCATGAGCTCTGAAGAAGGTTGGAGATGGAAGCCCAGGTGTACTAGTCATCACTGGACCAAAATGCCTGACGCCCACAATTTAAAAGAAAAAGGCTTAATTTGATTTAATGTTTGGGGAATTTCAGGGCATAGTTAGCTGGCTCCAACACAGAACTATCCTGATGGCAGGGCATGGTGGAAGAAATCTCTTCTCCCTAGGTAGTCAGGAAGAAGAGCACACGATCAGCATCAGAGAAGGGAGAGGGACCTTATCTAGCATCCAAGGTCGTACCTTCCCGACCCACTCTGGCATACCAGGGGTGTGCATCACTATTCTGCTAGACTTTTCTTAATTTAGTGAAGTTGACAAATCAGCACAATGATCACAGAAATATTTGATCGATGTTCTAGGAGAATCCTGGACACAGGGAATCCCCTTCCACCAGCAGGGTTTTGTGACACATCAAGCATGGCTCCACCGTGATGGTACTGCTCAGGAAAACCCGAGGTCAGGCCAAATTCTTTCCATGCTTGGCTGCCACCAACAGTCATGGTTTACCCCTTCCTGGCCCAAGCCCTCACTAGTTCTTCCTTCCAGTCTTTGCTTTCAAACTTGCGTGCACTTAATTTGCCACAATCCCAGTCAGAATAAACAAAGCCAACAACAGAGAGCATGTCAGGTGGTTATTGCACCTTTTGGTTGGGCAGAAATACCCAGATGACTTCTCTGAATAAATCTGATCCTAATGCAACTACTCTTTCCCATGAGCAAAAATACAACTAAAAGTCAACATCGCACCAGGCCTTTTTAATTTCAGAGGGTGTTTGTTTCCCCTTTGAGGCTAAGCAACACATTTTTATTTTGTTGTGTTATACAAACATGATGAAAAGTAAAACATGAGGGGCAGCTTGATGTTTCTGTGGAAAATGGGACTTTCTCTTATCCCAAATGTGGGCTGCATTCCAGGCTTGACATTTATGATCTCAGAGTGCGAAACTAGCACTTGGGGAAATGATTGTCTGTTTGTTGACAAGCCAGGCTTCCAGGCTTTGGAAGTATTTGCTGTGTGGAATGAGCAGGGTCAGTCTCCATGGTCTGGGACACAGGGCTGAGGCTGCTACAGACTCACCTCTGCTGTTTTGGAACAAAAATCACCACATGCTCTGAACAAATCTCTCTCTGGAGGCACACACGTCAGAAGACCGAGCTCCCAGGGGGCCCATCTTGATTTCTTCAGGTAAGATGTGTTTTGCTTTGTGTCATACACGCCTTTCCCTTGTCAGTAATTTCTGACTGTATGCAAGAATATTTGACTCTTACTCACGAGGAGACCTTAAATAAGGGTACTGGGCAAAAGCGTTTTGCAGGATCTTATGAGTGAAAAGTGTCAAACTCAAAATGGAGTTACTCATTTCACGTCCTAATCAAAACATGAAATAAAACTGGGAGGCTGGGAAGCAAGGGAACTCATATACTTCAGTGCGACCACAGAACTATCACAAGACACTTGGCCATGACTACGACTTGGTGCAAAGTCCATCACAGCCTTACCTAGGGAGCATTTGTGCCAGGGCGTCTTTCCAGTAATGGTCTGCTGTACTTTGGACTGGTGCTTCTTCTGTGAAGGATCACTGAACACCTTTGGTATATTAATCGCTGTGGTCCAGGATTATTGTTTCAAAATAACACAATTCTCTTCATTTTACCTTTAAAATTTCCATTTGCCCTGCCTTGGAATACAGTCTCAGTTTCCATGACATGTGTATTGATCATCTCAATGTTCCCTGCATTCTCCCTGATGAATATCATTCTTTAGAGAGTCCGACTGTGATTTAGAGGTTGCTTACTTTTTTCTTACATTTTAATATCATACACATTCTATCCTGTTTAGTCTTTTCCTTCAATTATTCCTTACTTCCCTCAGTCAAAATTTTCAGTTCTTTTTAAAGCAGTGGAATGTGCTTTCCTCAAATAAAACTTCAACCAGAATCCCAATATATAAAATAGACAGAGGTAGAGTTTAAATTAAGCTCTTCACAAGACATGGGCAGAGGCTGGTGCCTTGACCTATTTGAATGCTATGTAAGCTCTGCTGAGCAAGGAGGAAGCACAGACAAAGCTGGAAAACTTTAGTCCGGCCTGTTGCAGCCATGTTTAAAAATGATTAGAACACCAGCTAGCAACGAGCAAAGAGGGTAACAGACGGATGTTCAGTACATTTTCGGTCGCAGTACCCTGTACCCTCTCCTGCAGAAGCGCAAGCACCCAGCACACCACGGCCCTTCAGGGAGCCTTGTCTTTGCCCCTGGGTTCACATCCACACAAGCAGAGAGAAAGCACAACCAGTGCTCTGGTACTTCCAGAGGGCTTGCTCCTTGTCTTCCTTCTGGAGAAATCCTTCTGGGCCTCCCATGAGGAAGGGAAGCAGGCCTGCTGTCTGTAGGAAATGTGCTCTTCATAAAACTCGCCTGCCCGTCAAACAAAAACACGGGCAGCCCCTTGTTCAGGGAGGCAAGGATCCCTCACAGTGAAGTTGAGAGTCTGTTGAAACAAAGCATTTCCTTTGCCATGTGGCATGTTGGAAGCCATTATGCTCTCCGCAAAAGACAAGATGTCTCAGTCTGCCTGGCTGCAAGCCTATGGTGGGGTCTCCAAAACCCCGTAACCTCTCAGTGCCTGAATCCTTTTGCCTGTGAAACCAGGGCTCCGCCTGAGCTCACCTGTCCCAGAGTCTCTGGTTACCGAACACGGGATGCAGGCTGCAAACCCCCTCCCTATAAAGCATTCAGCTTGTCAGGTAGTGAGCTCACATTGTAGGCCTGGGGAACTGACAGGAACTGGGCTGCTCCTCAGCTGCTCCAAAAACGCCACTCCTGCATGTCTGCATCAGTTCTTGGGAGGACATCCAGACACAAACTATAACATTGGTCCATCTATCTTTCTGTCTTCTGTCCCTCTGTTCATTTGTCTGTCTACTTAGACATCCATCCTAGTCATTCTGTTTCTGTGAAGAACCTTGACCAACATCAGAATTCTTCATGGTCCACGGTCCTGGATAATGTTATTCCCAAGGAACAGACAAGACCAGAGCCAAGTTTCCTTCCACTCGTACTCCATTCTGTGTTCTTCTCATCAGGACACATAGCTCTTCAATTTACTCTGCCACAGCCTAAAAGCTCACTAGAAAATGCTTCAGTTTCTAAAAGAATCAGGTGAGCAGCACTTTTCACACTGGCTCCTAGCGATGAATCTGGATTAGACTGCACTACCACAGAGAGACACCTCTGGCATGTGATGAAACAAAAACCTCCTGAAAGTGTGTTTTTCAGGTGTAAGATAGTTCATCATTTTATTTATTGTTGCTTGACTTCCTGTAAAGAAAATGCTAGCCATTGACATTAAATCGCTCGTGGAGCCCAAATTGTTTATGGCAATAGTGCCTATAATACTATGACTTCAGTGGCAGCTAAGGGGGATATTCTATGTGAGCTCAGTCTAGGGTCACTTACTTCACTCCCCGTGAATGTTGGACCCAGCTTTGTGCTTCAAGCCCCAGAACCTTGCAGTAGCCTCCACACAAGTTCAGCCTGGAAATGTGGGCATTGACACCCCCAGAAGCAGTCCTCAGCTAGTAGAGAGAACATTTACTGGATAGACGACTGTCTTAGTCTGTTTGTTTTACTGTAACAGCATATGTGAGGCTGAGTGCCTTATAAAGAAAAGAGGTTTATTTAACTCACAGTCCTACAGTCCTAGAGCATGATACCAGCATCTGCTCAGTTCTAGTGAAGGCCTTGTGGTGGGAGCATCTGAAAAACAGGCAAGCAGAGGTTTGCAAAAGAGATCAGATGGCAAAAGGGAAGCAAGGAAACAGTGTGGGGCCAGGCTCACTCTTGTTTTTGATTTGTTTGTTTGTTCTTGAGACAGTCTCACTATGTAGTGCAGGGTGGATTTGGACTCTCTCTGTAGCCCAGGTTGGCCTCAAATTCATGGCAATCCTCTTGCCTTAGCCTCTTGAGTGCTGACATTGTAGGTATGTGCCACCGTCCACATTATCCTCACTGCATTCCTCTAACAAACTCAAGTTTACTGAGATGACCCTAAAAGTAAGATGGGCAGAGTAAAATATCACAAGAACTAGACTTTTAATTATAAATTTATATAATAATTAATAATAAAATGGTAGTTAACTTGAAAGGACATCATTCTAGGAGACTATGTCCAAAAGCCACATTCAGTTTTGACTTTTGTTTTTTTATAGATTTTTTTTTTATCAGTACCAGGGATTGAACTCACAACCACGTGCTTGCAAGGCAGGTGCTTATGCAGCTGAGCTAAATCCCCAGCTCCCAGTTTTAACTTTTTGGTATTAACATTCCCTGAATAAAACAAGTGAGGACCCATTTACCCCACTGACCTTCCTCTGGGTGAGCAGGAAGCCTGGCTGCAGTAATGACACCGTTCACTCAAGAAGCCTTTATGAAGAGACCACAGAAATTTCCCCAGCTGTGTAAATGTGACCACACAATTCCATTCAGCTCAAGGAGTTTGACAAAGATACCCCTTTATTACAGGTGTCCAAAGGAAGGAAGGGGATAGAGAAGGGTGGAGGGGTAGAGAGGCCCCATAACCTTCCTGTACTCCTTGGCCCTTATCATTCCATCTGTGCTATCTTTGCTCTGTGAGTTTGAGCACCCTCTAGGACATAGCCCATTTCAGCATGCCCTTTATTTCCCACACAGGACTTTCCACTCTCTCTACAAATAAGGATGCACTAATAAATCTGTTTGGAGAAGAGATGGATGGAGATGTACACAAGTATTCATGGATAAGCAAATGGATAGCTGGATAGATGAATGGATGAGTGGGTGAATAAATTGATGATTACATAACTGGCCAGATGAATGTGTAGGTTGGGTGGGTAAATGGGTGAGTGGAAACCTAGCTGGATGGATAGATGGATGCATGGATGAGTGGACGGGTAGATGAACGGATGAAGGATAATGGATGGATAGATGGATGGATGGATAAAGATTTGGACAGGTATATTAGTAGATGAATGGGTTAATCAATGGATAAAGTGAGGAAGGCAGGGAGGGAGAAGGGAGGTTAGAAATGCATGATTGCAAACAGAATCCTCTCTTTAGCAGTTAATCAGTGCTCTGTACCTAGAAACAGCTGGTCTTGTTCCGACTGTAGCCAGCTTAGGGATAAATGTGCAGCACCCTGCATCTTTCAATTGGCTAAGAAATGTACCTCTTCCATATGTCATAAATACACCAGCCATCCCAGCAGTGTGGGATAATGGGGTTGCTTCTCCTTATAATTGAAACAATGTGTCTCAGTCCATTAAGGCTGCTACAGAATAATACAGTGCCATAGATCGGAGGTGTATAAACAAGAATTTATATCTCACCATTCTGGAGGCTAGGACAGTGCTAAATAAAGGTGTAGAAGATTTAAAGTATGGTAAGAGCCATTTTCTGGTTTGTAGACAGTTACCTACTTTCTGTGTCTTCACATGGTCCAGTTGAACGGCCAAGGAAGCGCCTCAGGTCTGTTCTATGAGAACGCTAATCCCGTGTGTGAGGGCTCTGCTCTCATGGCCTATTAGCTTCCTAAAGTCATAGCTCTTAATGCAATCATGTCGGGGGTTGAAATTTCAGTACACAAATTTAGGGTGGCATAAGCATTCAAGCCATAGAATAACATGTGTAGAAGTCTCTAACTATAAATCCCCATCTGGATGTGAGTTTTGCAGAGCAGGGAAATTATGATTTCTTTAGTGTGTCAGTTAAGGAGAGAAAAACAGCCGCGTCTCATCAGCAATAGAATTAAACAATCATATGGTTACAGAATGTTTTTGTAAATAAGGAAACTAAAAGAAGGAAGAAGAGAGCTTTGTCAAGGTCACGTGAATAGTAACGCGGGGCCCAGGTCCTCTGATTCTCACTCTCTCCCTCTTTAACCCTCACTGGATCATTCTCACAGATCAGCAGTCACCTGACCTTGCCACTCCCCTTGCATTGCACCTTCTGGCAACCCCAGCTGAGCACAGCTGCGTGCAACAAGATCTCTTTTTCTTTCTCTGAGCCTGTTGGTTTAATAGGAGAAGCTCTTGGGTCCTTTTAAATTTCTCTGAGCCATCCACAGGGTCCTTAAGTTTCCAATCCGGCCCAGTGGCTAATGAGCGGAGATGCACTGGTGTGAACTGGAGCCTTGGAGGACACTCTGAAAGGCAAGTGACGTCTCAGGTGACGCACAACCTCATCACGGTACCTGGTGGGCTTTAAAAAGCTCTTTCGAATCATTCAGATTATTTCCCCTGGTATAGATCGGCCCAAAATATCCAGCAGACCATTCCCAGTGCACTTTTCGAAGCCAAGATCTTCCCGGGAAATGCAGCAGCTATTACATAACAAGGGTTGGGCCTTCTCTGCCCTAGCAGAACCAATAACCCCCCTGTGTTAAGCCAGGGAATCAAAATCTTCAAAATTACCCCCTACTCAGCCCTGACACTAAGAGTTCTTAAAACTCAGATGTGCTGCATTGCTGTCTCAGGAGGGGAACGAGACATGGGTTTGGGAGTCAGAAGACCTCCAAGGCGGGACATTTGGTCTGCTCCAGTTGTGTGAAGTTAGGTGACACCTATGCTGAGTTTTATAATGACAGCTAGGTCACGGGCTGACATTGCAAGTCATTTAAATAAAATGCACAAATATTAGACATTTTGTAACTTGGCTGTTGGGAAACGTTAGTAGCAAAAGATGAGCAAATGGAGAAACAAAAGCACCAAGACCATTAGGAATCAGTGTGGCGACTGAGTTTCCAGCCAGTGTCACCTTGTCTTGGTATAAAGTCTATACGCATGGCTACATGTTCCTTCTTACACCTCAGAGGCCATAAAACTTCATCTCAGCATTCATTTTATGCTTTCAGATTTTTCACATAAGGAAACAGTGAAGCAGAGACAAATGGCACCAAATTGCACAGCAAATTAGTTCAGGAGCATATGCCCACCTGCCAGCTCTCAGGTGCTTCCCAGCTGACCATCAGGCCTCAGAAAGCTTTGTAAAGCCTTCAGGGGAACCCAGCTGGATTCTTGTTTCTTCCCTGGGCTCAGGATCTTGTGTCACTTTTGACAGGCATGCCACTGTCCTTTTGAGTGGAAGTTTGTTGAAAAGTATACTTCTTTTAAAAAGTGAGACTCAGGAACCTAATCATTTGTCAAGGATGGCAAAAAAAAAAAAAAGATGTGCACAACTTAACATATCAAAGGAAATAGAATTTCCTCCTTCCACCTTTCAGGTTACTGAAAATACATTAAATCCAAACCACATGGCTTTGGGTGAACGTAGAGGATGATGTGATTTCCCGTTATGAGATTCTTTCCCATCATCTGTGGCCGCCAAGGTCTTTTCAGATAAAACAAAGATATGAGACTTCACCCCAAAGAGGGAAAAAGAAGACTCAAGGTAAGCAGAAATTAGATTTCAGAGCAGCAGTGGGCAAAGCACAAACGACATTGTACACACAGGGCCAGTCCTCAGCCACCCCATGCTTGGCAATCCTCCCTGGACATGACCTCTTATGTTGAATCCTGCCTCTGCCCCTCAGTGACAGAGGACAGTGTCCTGTTAAAGCAGAAGGTAAGGAATAAAGATAGGTGGAAAAGAGACAAGGAAATCCAACGTTTTGTTCCTGAACTACCATTCTAGGTCAGAGTGGGCACGATAATCACCTAACTAGTGTCTGCATTGTAAAGTCTACTGGCCTTTCATTTACCTGGTGTGCCTCATCCCTTCCTGTCAAGTCTGAGGACACGAAGATAACAGTAGCTGAAATCATTTCAGGGGTTTGCAGGGACATTCAGTTTCCAGCATTCAAAACATCCAGCTCCAGACACTCTACCCCCAGCACTGCCTAGAATTCTGCAAATCTAAAGTCACCTGCGGTTTCAGGAAATGCAGACGTGCAGAAAAATTCATGATGAGATCACCTCCTCCCAAGTAGAAACAGTCTCCTCTGGATAGACAGGAACTGCAGCAGCACTACTCCCAAGGAAGAGCTATCTTCTCACGGGAACGAAACATTCCTCCAGCCATAAGGGCTCCTCTGGGCCAGTGAAATCTGAACTGAGAAAACAATCTGCCAGACTCTGGCCCACAACTAATCCGTGAAAGCTGACCTCAGGTTTTCATAAGCAGGCCATTCTGAACCCTGTAACAGAGTGAGCCCCGTCCGGTTACTGGAGCTGAAGTACTTCTCCCATTTTCTCTTCCTTTCTAACTCTGCCTAGTACACCTGTCTGTGCCTCACACGGGTGCATCCTGACATCCTTTTCATGTCAAGAATCTACTCAGCAGACCAAGTTAATGATCTTTATCTCCCCTTTGAGGGACCTCCTTACACGCTGTCCAGTGACACACTCACCTGGAACCCGCTCTAAGCGGGTCTGCAGTTGAACCTTTCAACATGGAAGATAAACTTCAGTGATGTGGTGAGAATGTGTCCCTCTCCAAACTTTCACTGGGATTAAGAAATTAGACACTTAATCTTTAACTTCATATGTGAATGTATTTGGAGAGGTAGAATCTTTGGGAAGTAATTAGGGTTAGATGAAGTCATGAACGTGGATCTTCAGGATTCTATCCCTATAATGGCTTTGTAGGAAGGAGAAGAGACACCTGTGCTAACACACTTGCTCTGTGTCACCATGTAATGGCTCTGTCATGTTATTCTGGAGCAAGAAGACCCTCACCAGAGGCTGAGCAAAAGCTCGCAGCGAAGTCTTGGACTTTCCATACTCCAGAATTATAGGCTAACATAATTTATATTTTTAAATAAATTTCCAAGTATATGAAATTCACTTATAACAACATAAAATTGTCTGAGATAATCGGTAAGCCAAAGACATTGACTCAGTTGACTAGGAAGGCTAAGAGGTTGAATTGTCAGTGAGCAAGGGGGCCAGTAGTGAGAGAAGAACAGCCAGGTGGGGTGCAAGGTCAGCCCCCCCAGCTGCAGGGGGCCCTCAAAGGTTGGGTGTGGGCTGGAGAAAAAGGCAGGATGGGATCTTTATGGAAGAGGGAAATGAAAGGAGAAAGCCAGATCTGGGAAGAGAAGGGAGAAATGAAAGGTGGCAAGGGGAAGAGAGTCACTTAAAAAGTTTTAACTAGGGAAGAAGATGGTGGATAGATAGCAGCAGCTACAGAGGCTCTCTGAGATACCCCGCTTAGAATCCAGGAATGCTGCAGTACAAGGAGTCCTAAGCAAGGGAAATACACCCTGCCTACCCAGGAATGAACTAAGCTAAGAGAAACCAACTGGAAATCCAATCCTGGTGCTATAACAGGAACAGATAAAATCTCAGTGCGGAAGCTAGAACCTGTGCCACTGGAAGCCGCGATTTGAATTTCCTGCTGCCACTGCTGCATCCAAATTTCTGCAGGGCAGGGAGAGAGACACACCAAACCTCTGAGAGTGGGAATCTGCAAATGGAGTTGAGAGCGGGACGAGCATGGAGCCCTACATCGACTTGCGGTGAGTGAGCGGAACGAGGACCCTTTCATAGAGTAGGAGGCTCCAGCAAAGGACTGGGATTGGGCAGACTTGCTGGAACAGGGTGCTGCAGTGACTTCAGTCACATATTCCCCTCTCAAGCAGGATTGGTGGGGAGTACCTGGCCTGCATGACGCCGCTGACTAAGACTTAGTAGGCTAGCTCAAACCAGGTCCCAGCCCCTGGAGGTGCACCCTTGTGATGAAGCCTTCGGTAGGTTGACCTGGAGGGGCGGGCCCAGCAGAGGCTGCCCAGGTATGTGTCTCCCTAGTACACTGCAGTGGGCGAGAACACCTAGCTGGCTCAATTCAAACAAACTGTAACCGAAAAAGAGAAAAAAAAAATTGGGCCTCCTACATTCGCTTATATGGAAGGAACAAAAAGTGTGGGAAGAGGAAGCAACAAGAAAGGGTCCTCAGTCCCCAATCCTGAGAACACTGATCCAGGAAAGGGAAATGCAAAGGAAGACAGAAAACATGCAATATCAGGCATGGCACCAATAGACATAAAGCGTTATCTCCAGAGCCTCATAGACAAGTTTAAAAATGAAGTATTTAATGAAATAAAGCAAGATATAAGTAGAATAGTTAGAGAAATGCTAAGCACCGCCCAAGAAAAAACAGATGGTGGAATGGAAGAACAGAAAAAAAGGGGAGAATTGTTTGATGGAGAAAATAGAAAAAACATAGAATACGTGAAACAGGTTCAAAGAGATTACCAGGAAACTAAAAACTCTATCAAAAGCTGGCATAACAGCTTGAAAGAAACTGAGGACAGGTTATCTGAATTGGTGGGCAGACTTGTGATATGGGAGCATGAAATGAAAAACTTCTTAAAAATAACAAGAAAACAAACAGCAATAATACAAAGGCTAGAAGATGATAGGATCTATAACCTAAGAATTAAGAACATAAAAGAAGAAGTAGGGATACAAACAAATGGACTACAAAAACTATTCACAGAAATAATCCAAGAGAATTTCCCTAATTTAGCAAAAGGTAAAGATACTCAGATGTATGAGGTGTACAGGACCCCAGCCACCTACAACCCAAACAGAGCTACACCCAGGCATATAATAATCAAAATTCCAGAAATACAATATAAGACCAGAATACTAAAAGCTGTCGGAGACAAGAAACAGATCACTTACACAGGAACACCCATCAGAATTACAGCAGACTTCTTGGCACAAACCATCAAATCATGAAGAGCATGGGGGGAAATAATTCAAGCTTTGAAAGATAACCTCCAGCCAAGATTGATATATCCAGCACAACTGTCCCTAGAAATTGATGGAAAAACAAGGTGCTTCCAGGATAAAGAGGAACTAGGGGAATTTGCAACCACCAATTCAACTCTACAGAGAATACTGAAGGATATTCTAAAAAAGGAAAATACCAAGACTTCAGAAACAGTGGCAGAGAGGCCACAATGAATGGAGTAGAAAGCAAAATGAAGAAGACAAACTGACAACAAATGACAGAAAAAGAGCTCAACAGAAATGAGGCAGAGAAGATTGGATGGTAGGAACAGCTATTTTGGACAAAACAAGACATCATAATAGCTAGTGCTGATTTAGTATCATCTTGCTTTGAAGTCTCATCAAGCTTTCATTCTTCTGTCTCCATCGGTCTTAACAAGTTGTATCTTACTGGATCTTATTATATGTGATAATATAAGAAAAAATTTATAGACAAGGAAATTATACAGAAACCATTGTTTGTTTTCTGATAGTTGGTTCTAAATACCCTGTAATACTGTCATTCTCTTGGATGGTTTTACATTGTCTTGATATGTTTGATGCTACAGTATACAAAGTTATACTTAAAGATTTCAAGGAAAGAGACACTATGCTAACTATTTTTATGTTGGGATGTCTTGTGGTGAAACACTATTTTGCTTAAATGGTTATGCTTTGACCTGTGCTGTTTTGTTGTTATGCCCTCTTTTATCTCAGTCTCTCTTTGTTTAATTATTTACTTTTTTATTTTTCTTTTTAATTAAGGGAAAAATAAAAAAATAGCACTATACATTATAGTAACCCACTTTGATTTCCTATTAACTTGATTTGAAACCCTGTATAGCCCTCACCATCTTGCTTTGACTGATTTTCCTCTATTCTGCTTTGCTTGATAGTACCAAGTTTGAAAGTATAGGCAACAACTGTAAAGACAGTAAGATTCATTATGACGCTCATTCCGGTTGAGCATTATCTTCTTTTAAAGCCCTGTAATGTCTCCAATGTTTTGGTTTTATTCTTTACTGTTTTGTTCAGTTTTATTATAACTGATGACATAGGCAATTCTTTTTAAGAAAGAAAGTATGGTAACCATTGTTGATCACCTAGTATTTTGTTTTTACATTATCTATTATGTTCATTCTTCTGATTTGACTGACTCTGTTCTGTTATGTCACATTTGGTTTTACTCTTCAAAAAAAAAGTAATAAGAACTGTGGGAGTAATAAAACCCAAAATGTGTAATTGTCATTGTACAAAAGAAATGAAAAGAAAGTGCTCTAAACAATATAACCGCATATATATTTAAGTGTATAAGATAGATAACCATATTACTGAGTTTTGTTGGATCATTGAACAGAACTGTTTGCAGTCTCACTGTTTGAAAGTCCACTTTATATGCTTTAATTTTGTAACTTGAACAACTATTTCTAAGATGGCAATCTATTAACTAGTGATTTCCTATTTTTTATTTTTTCTGAAATTCTGTATAACTTGTACCCTATTTCTGTTTTTTTTTCTTTTTCTCCATAATAAAATAAAAGAAGTTTCTTTCAAGAGCTATGAAGCCAAATCCACACCAATTTGCCTCCAATGTTTATTTTCTAAAATTAACAGCAAAGTCTCTATGGCTGTAGCCTAGATTCTATGGGCAGCTTTAAAGGAATCTGCATTTTTTTAAACATCTCAAAGGAGTCTGCATAGCCGCTAACTGCCTGTCTCTCCCTCTGCACCCCAAGCTCCCCAACTTTCTTGGTGTCCCCCCCTCGGTATAGCACTTGGTTTCATATGCAAGTGAAGCTATCTTTCAAATCTTTTTCAGAACGTTAATAGCTGTTTTGTTTCATTGATTTGTCTTGGCTTTTCTAATGTGCTGATGAGATACTGCTGTGTGAGCTCTGCAAATCCTCTAGTTTCTTCTATAATCTGGGGTGTTCCTGTGAAGCCAAGGAGAGCCAAAAGTGACCCTAGGAAGGAGAAGGGTTATGGAATAGAAAAGTAAAGGGTGAACTCTTAGCCTTGTTTTATGCATGGACATTTAAAGTATATCAATTTCGGCCAGCAGTCTAAATTCCAGTCATCTGTTCTATTCAATACTTCCATCCCTTGGGGATGATCTTGTGTTTCAAGCGTTCACTTACTTCTAAAGTGCTTTGTACGTTTGGCTGAAAATGTTGCTCCAAAAGTGTGGGCAAGATTAAATGGCCACATGAGGTTTCAAAGGGGCTCCCAGTAATTCTCCATTCCCAAAGGGCCTGACATCTGATCTGTGAAAGGTTTCTGCTCAGGCAGCAGATTTAGAGACTAGAAAGGGCTTCCTCTTTCAATCCACCATTTTATAGCTTCAGAAATATTTGCACACCAAGAATGTAGAGAGATCCAGCAATCT